CAAGGAATCTCGTAATTGAAATGTAAATTTTCTTTTTCTCTAGCTCTTCTTTTTTTTAACGTTACATAAATATTTTTTTAGTACTTTTCTTTCACTTCCTTAGGTTCAGGAATTGCTTCAATAAGTTTATACATTAAGGTTTTTTAATTTAGGTTTAACATTATTTGTTGATTTCATCATTATAGCCCATAAATTTTTAAAATTCATGAAATTATCTAGTGTTGTCAATTTTCTTTGGGTATTAAAACTTGACCTTTTTCTATGCTGAAGAGAAATTTAATAATTAATACTATATTAAAGTAACCAAATTGATCATTGGCCAGTTAAAGTAATATTTTCTTTTGGAAAAAAAAATATTGACTTAAAGCTTTCCTAGTTCGTTGTTAATGAAGCAAAAGAATAACTAATCTCGTCATACTATATGCATATCAAAAATATAATTCTAGTTGATATGGTAGGGTAGATGAGCAATCTAAGGTTGGAAAATGGGGATTATAGTTAATAATTTTTTAGTTTTTACTTCTTAAAAATATTTCAATTTGAATTTAATTAATTTTTGGCCCACGGGCCGGCCTAGACCAAGCCTCAAGGGCCAAAGGGCTGACTTGGGCCGGGCTTAAAAGCCTCAGTTTTAAATGGGCTAAAAAAATCTCAACCCAGCCCTACCCAAATAGCGGACTGGTTGGGATGGCCTCACGGGCCAAGCCCATTTTGACGGCTCTAACCACATCCTTTGGTGGTTAATCATAGTTTAAGATTATATTAAATTGAAGCTCACTTATGAATTAAAGTAAAAAAAAAAATGAGACATTTTTCTAATGACATGAGTGATATTATCCAGAAGTTTAACACAAAATAAAATTGCTTCATTTCAAATGAATGGGGACACATTGGTAAATAGAGGAGGGGACCTTGTTTCCTCAAGTGGACTGTCTTGTCAATAAGAAACACTTCAAATGCCTTATATGAAACAACAACATTTTTAGAAACTACTTTGTAATATAGTATTCACAAGAGATTTTTGCCACTTCCATATATTGTTATCTCTTCTTGCCAGTACAATCCTCATTTCCTATTCTTGTTCTTGTGTATATATGGTCCAATTCAATGTCATTGCACTTATTGTGTACGACAAAAAGTGACACAAATCTAAGTGAGAAATTGCATCATTCTTTGTTACACAAATAGCCGATCAGATTTAATATTTATTTTTTCTAGCCGGTATACATAGATTATACATTCATTATATACCATTATACATATATTATACATGAATTATACATATATTATACATCCGTTAGCTATTTTTAGTTTAAGAGATTAGATGGGCGCGCGGCTATTTGAGTTATCGAGTACTTCTCTCATTCTACCAAGTATCTTCCATTTTTAATATAAATGGCAAAAGGTGGTGGCAGCTTTTGGGAAAATTGTTATTTTGGGGACCAGAAATTTGTTGGTCGATAGTGTGATCACTTTCCTTAAAAAATTTAAGAGACTTTTACATTCCTATGCCACATAGGAAACCTTATCACCCTTGATGTTTAAGGTTTGACTTAATTACACTTAGTATACCAAATTATCTATATACCATAATTAATTATACATTTTTTACTCCTTAATTAAAGTAATCTGCACATTTCTCTCTCCTAACCCCTCAGTCCCACCCACGTTTTACCCATACCCACGTTCTTTTTACCATTTTCCATCTTCTGAAATCAAATTCTCCCTTTAAATTCACAGAAAATTGAAGAAACCCTTCAACAAAGTTGGTTCCCCATTTTACTCCAGTTGAAGTTCATCAATGAAGAACAACAAAGTTCATCAAAATTTCGTCAAATCTTCAAAGTTCATACACACATTTACCTTCAGCTTCAAATTTTCTCAATGAAGAAGAACAAACCTTCAAAGAGACAAGAGAGCAGCAATTCCACCATTGACATCCATTAAAAAGCTTTGAAGCTTTGAATTCAAATTTGGGTTTTCAAAAATTATTATTTATTTTGATTGGGTGTTGTTGAAAATAATTGGGAATATGTTTTGGAGTTTATATCTCAATTTTGAGGTGTTTTGGTGAAGATTAGACTTGGGTTTGACTGAAATTCAGATTGAAACTCGAAGAAGAAGAAGAAGAAGACATATTGCAGAAATTGTAGATAAATTATAAATAAATTGTAGAAAAATTGTAGATAAATTTTAGATAAATTGTAGACTGTTTTTTGCAGAAGATTTTGTAAAAGTTTTAGTCGTTTTGGATTTGTGAAAACATAAAACAATGCATCTACAATCAGAATACAAATAATCTACAATTTATCTACAAAATATCTACAAACTGGATACATTGAATTTTAATATCCCAATTACCATTTCAATTGTAGCATAATTGGCATTTTCGACATAATTGCGTTTTTTGCAGAAGATTTGTAGAAGTTTTAGTCGTTTTTGATTTGTGAAAATAGAAAACAAAGCACCTACAATTAGAATACAAATAATCTACAATTTATCTGCAAAATATCTACAAATTGGGTACATTGAATTTTTATATCCCAATTCCCATCCAATTGTAGCATAATTGTGATTTTTGACATACTTACGTTTTTTTAGAAGTTTTGTAGAAGTTTTAGTCGTTTTTTATTTGTGAAAATAGAAAATAAAGCATCTACAATCAGAATACAAATAATCTACAATTTATCTACAATTTCTGCAATATGTCTTCTTCTTCTTCTTCTTCTTCTTCTTCTTCTTCTTCTTCTTCTTCTTCTTCTTCTTCTTCTTCTTCGAGTTTCAATCTGAATTTCAGTCAAAACCAAGTCTAATCTTCACCAAAACCCCTCAAAATTGAGATATAAACTTCAAACCATATTCCCGATTATTTTCAACAACACCCAATCCAAACAAATAATGATTTTTGAAAATCCAAATTTGAATTCAAAGCTTTCAAGCTTTTTAATGGCTATCAATTGTGGAAAATATCTGGAAGAATATTTACTTTCATAATTGTAGCGCGCCTAAATAGGAATATCTGGAAGAATATGATTTGATCTGATTTACGCCAAATCTTTTTAGAATATTCTGTTCCTCAATTTTAGTTCGACAAATTAGGAAGATTCAACTACTATTAATTAGTATTTAATGATTGGTATAATAACTATAGAAAAAATGTGGACAGGGCGGGTAAATTAGAAACTATGCACATTTTTAGTAATAAGGTTTCATATATGGTATATGAAAGAAAAAATCTCAAAATTTAAACTCCTTACTATATTGTTGTCGAAGGTATGAAAATAGTCCTAAGTACGAATTATTATGTCAAGTAAATTTATTTTTTTGACAAAATGAATTAAGTAGACAATAGAAAAGCCAAAGAAGTGGAGGTTGAATTAAGCATTTGCTTAATTTGGTTCTAAAATTTATGGTTGGATTGCCATTTAATAAACTATCAAGACTTGTACTAATTTAAACTTACTGTTTTTATCCATCTACAACATTCTTAATTACTATGCAAAACTTCCAAATTGTATAAAGGAGAAAGGTATATACATGAAATAAATCTGCATTTTGTTTTTAAACCTTTTAAATAAATTTTTTAAGAATAAAATTCGACAAGTATTTACACACTTCTAGTAGGCGTTTGGACATAAATATTGTAATTTTTGAAGAAAAAAAAGTACTTGGAGTTAAGTTGAAAAATGGTATTTGGAATTTGAAATTATGTTTGGACATACATTTTACTTGAAAAAATGTTGCAGTTTTTTGAGCGGGAAAACAAAAAATTCTGAAAATATTTTGAAAAAGTGGTATTTTGAAAAATTTATTTTTGAAAAATTTCCAAAAACTTGCAAAATTTCGTCAGCAAATACCTTTTTGAAAAAAAATACCGAAAAAAGAAAACAAATATTTATGAATAAATGGGTCCTAATTAGTATAATCTTTTTTTTTCTCGGAACAGGAGAAAAGTATAACCATTTATTTTTTATAAAAAAATCTTATTACATGAGGGGAAGGAAAAGACAAAAGAAGAGAATGGGGAGATCAAATCTACACTTATTATATCAAAAAAAAATTAATAATGTAGTTAGTAATATAACCATACGTACACATTTTATTTCCCCTTTAATTCGATTTTCTTGCAAATACTTTAGAGAATTACAAGTGGGAATTTAATTCTAAAAAAAATCTCAAGTCTTCACTTTGAAAGGGATATTTTAAAAAAAGAAAAGATATTTTGACATGTTGGAGATCATGGGGTTCATTTGATTGGTTAAGCGGCTAAAACAAATGTAAGTGATTGATTACACACAATTTCACACTTGTATATTAGGAGGCAAAACCTAGGCATAGTGTTTATTTTAATTAAAAATATTCACTTCATTCTATTTTATATTGTACTCTTTATTTTTTATTTTTTTGTTTAAAAAATTATATATTTCAAAACTTATTAATTCTCATATTCTAATTTTTCCCTCAACAACATACTCTTATAAATTTATATGTTTTAGTGGGATGAAATATTATCTCTTCACCCTCAATTAAAATTTCGAGTTTGTACACTCTTTCCGTTTTCTTGAGTCGAGAATTTATCGGAAATAACCTTTCTATTCCCTCGGGGTAGGGATAACGTCTACGTACACACTACCTCCCCAAACCTCACTTGTGAAATTTTACTAGGTTATTGTTGTAGTTCGAACATTGAAAATATTTTAAGAAGCACTTCTTCTTTCGTCGAATCCAAATTAATCGGGGCTCTAATCGGACACTAAATGAAAAATTTTAAAAAGACATGATATTTAAATTACTCATAAGATCTGCCAAAATGTTTGTTTTATTTTTTATTTTTTGAAGACTAAAATATCAAGGAGAGACAGAGTGCCACATCACACAGTATTGGGGAGGGGGTAGAGGGCCTAACTTTTCCTTTTCATGAAAAGGACAGGGTCCCACATGACACCCTTCTCCTATCTTTCTCTCTCCTGCACTTTTTTATCAACTTTAATATTATTTTATTTTGTAGATATTATGAGAACTCAACAGTTCAACAAATAGTGTCCAAAAGACTTTCCATAAACCAACCCTCCTAAAGAAGACATTTTGGAAACCGGAAAAAATCCTATCTTTCTTGTTTAAGGGTTTTTGTTCTCTACTTTGAGAGAAAAAAAAAAGCTGCAGCAAAAGGAGTTAATTATCAGTACTTATTTCCCTTTCCTTGTGTACTGTGTATCTTTTTTGGTCAGCTTACAGTTATATCAGGTAAAAAGTTAGTTAATTTCTTGAATTTTTTTTCTTCATTTTTTTTTCCAGTTTATTGAGGTTTATGTTCTTGCATCTCTGTTGGGGTTGCTTGGTTTTTGTTTATTTGATCTGTTTATGTGTTATTTCTTTTTATATACTTTTATAGTTATTCAGATCTTTTTTCTATGCTTCTTTAGAGCTTTAGATTATCTCTTTGTTTGATGTCTTTTGGTTAAAGGTAATTTTCCCACCTTGAGATATTTAATAAGGTAAAAAAATGTCATTTTTTTTTTTGTTGTTGTAAATAATTATGCTTAGAAAAAAGTCACTTATGACTCTGAAAATTCTCCACTGTTTGTCTGGATTCTTGATTCTCAATTAGTTTGGAGCTACTTTTTCCCCCTTTTGACTGAAATGGCTTTTTTTCCAGCCTTTTCCATGTTCTTTTAACTTCTACAGCTGTATTGAAAAGTATTATTTTGCTGACCAAGATCTCATTTTTGAATTCTTCAATTCATGAGATAAGGTGAACTTTTCTTTTTTGTATGGGCAAAGATCTTAGAAGGGGAGCCTTGGCGTAACTGATAAAGTTGCCTCCGTGTGACCGGGAGGTCACGAGTTCGAGCCGTGGAAACAGCCTCTTGCAGAAATGCAGGGTAAGACTGCGTACAATAGACCCTTGTGGTCCGGCCTTCTCCGGACCCCGCGCATAGCGGGAGCTTAGTGCACCGGGCTGCCCTTTTTTATGGGCAAAGATCTTTACTTATGAAGTGTAGACTTGTATTATACTAAAAAATTTACTTCTTTTTATTCATTTGCTTTTGAAAATGCAGGTTCTTGTTCCTTATTGTAGAAGGTAACAAAACAGTTGAGCAAATCATCTTCTGTTGCTTAAAGTCTAAAACTTTCTATCTGAAGGCTGAAGATCTTGTAGACGGGGAAAAAGTTATGGGTTATATATGTGAATTCTGCGGAGAACAACGATCGATTGTATATTGTCGATCTGATGCAGCGTGCTTATGTTTGTCATGTGATCGAAATGTCCATTCCGCAAATGCCCTTTCGGAACGTCATTCGAGGACACTTATATGTGAAAGATGTAATTCACAACCAGCTGTTGTTAGGTGCATCGAGGAAAAAGCGTCGCTTTGTCAGAACTGTGATTGGTCAGGTCATGCTAGTAGTTCCAGTTCAGGTTCTAGGCACATGAGGCAAGCGCTTAGTAGTTACACGGGGTGTCCTTCCGCTGCTGAACTTTCTAATATCTGGTCATTTCTCTTAGATGACCCTTCAATTGGTGCTAGCTGTGAACAGAGAATGGGTACAATGACCATCAAGGATAACCGCTCGAGAGATGTTCAAGGTCCTCAAGGGAAGGAAAACTCACAAAATATGCGTGCTGCAGTCGAAGTGAATGACATGGATATTTCAGAAAAATCAAATCTTTTGGTGGAATCATCTATGCCTACTCTTGACAACAAGCAGCATCATGTGGAACCGCCTATTGGATCCTCGAATTCTGCTTTGTCAAAGGTAATCTAAGTTTTCATTAACGTGTTTTGATCGTAGTGAAGAAATTTTGCATGAATTTTTAAGGAACTGATTTGCATTTTTCTGGAAGCACATTAGTATCCTGTCCTTAAATAAAGCAATTAATAGTTGACTATTTAATTAAGAATCGCCCACTTTTGTTAGTGTTGTGTTGCTAACACTAAAAGTGCCATTATTCTGAGCTCGGAGCATTTAATATTAATGATAACCTTTTTCGGAAATGATTTTTGGACTTTTATGTTTTATACCGTTGATACATCATACATCACTTTGTCAAAAGCGATCTTAGCAACTCTGCTCCTGCTTCCCACCGGCTGGGTGGGGATGGGGGAAAGGAGCGGAGGTGGTTGGCCGAAAATGTCTTTGCTTGAAGCATGATTGTCTATCGCTTTTTCACTTGTCGAGAATTTTCTTGAGCTATTATCTTTATTAACTTTCAGGGAGGCTATATGGGAGCAAAAGGCTCTAGCTTATTTGAGGAGGATCCTTATTGTGACAATCTTATTATGGATGCGGTGGACTTGAGTATTGAGAATTACGAAGAGCTATTTGGTGCTTCTCTTAATTATCCAGATGAACTATTTGAGAATGAAAACTTCGATGGTTTATTTGAGATGAAGGACATAAAAAGTGCTGACTCCAACTGCCGAGGTGCTAATGCTGCCGAGGTGGGTAACTGGATCATGTTAACATTATTTCTCCTGCATATACTTCAACTGGGGTATACTTTTCGTTGTCTATTAGTTTTTCGTGCAGAACGTGTGCCGTCATTATTACTATTAGCTAGATCAAGAACTTACGAAATATTTTTCTCTCTCTAGTTATAATGACATAATCTAGTTAGTGTAAACATTTTCTATCTTGTTGAAGAGAAATGTTGATACTCACTTGTCGAAAATATTTATCCTCATGTTGAAAGATGTCCACGAAAAGTATAACCTTCTTTTGTGATGTTTTTGCGATGCATGTTTCTTTGTGCCCTTTTGTCACTTCCATTCATAGTTGCTTTATTTTAGGTTCTCCCTATTTTGAATAGTTCCACAAGTTACATTACAGATATAAGTAGATTAAGAACGAACAGGCTACCATGTTTGGTGAACCATCATAGGCGTAGTCAAGATTTAGAGTTTATGGGTTCTGAACTTGCCACCGAACCCATAGCCTGTCTTAGTTACTGGGTTCGCAATCGCAATTAAATATTTATACATATTTGATGAATTTCCTAATATAAATACAATGTTTAAGCAGAAGCTATTTGGTTCGTCCGAACCCGTACCCAATATTGTAGCTCCGCCTCTGCAGAGCCATAGAATGTGGTTGTGGTAGCTGAATCATGCTAAATGTAGCTGGCACAAGTACAAGCTATAAGCACAAAAACAAAGATAAGTGGTAGATAGATTCTTTTGAGTTTCCTGCTATTTGTGATATTTGTCCACTTTATCAGTATTTGCAACTTAAATGGATCAATTCCCACCTAAGCCATTGACAGTAATAGTACCCATTGGATATAGCAACAGGAATATTCTAGCTTCTCAACCTTTATTGGACTGGTATTATCAATATGAACTGGATGTGGGCCTCGGGAAAATTAGTCGAAATGCGTATGGTATACGAACTAGAAACAGTGCTAAAAGCAAAAATAGTATTAAGCTGCATCAGGGATGTTCTCTATAATTAGCTAAAGTTTTAGGACCTGCGACTGATGCACCAATTAATAAAAAATCAATCTGGTTTGAGGTGCTGGAAACTAGAATTTTTGCAGAACGCCTTACATTTTAGCCATATTTTCTGTTTTTATTGTATGCGTGATTCTTTGGTTTGTGGGAGAGGGGAAGGGGTAGAGGAAGGGTTTTGTATGTCAGTTAAGCGAGAAACAGAAGTCGGACAACTTGCTAAGTTAGCACGTAAGGGTTCACAATGTCTAGGAAGGAACATCTTATATATGTAATTCTGTTCTTTGATAGTTTTTGAATCGATATTTTGAGATATCTGTGTTATAGAAGACGGGCATATCTTTTTTGTTAGGCAACCTTTAGTAACTAGATATCAAAACAAAATAATTGATTCCTTCCTGTAATGTAGAACGCCTATTTTCTGCATTTTCCTTCCAATATCTCTCTGTTTGGAAGTGGTATACATCTCCATATTCGTCTTCTTGTGTTCTGATGCTCTTTATCTCGTCGTCTCTGATTATTCTTTGATCTTTCCGGGGAAGCCTTATCATATTAAACTTGGATGACCCTAAATCTGTTAATACTTTACCAGGGATCACCTATTGCACGGGTGAACATGGTGCAGCCAACATGTAGCAACGCAGAATCTGCAGATTCTGCGATGAGCTGCAAGACGGATTCTATCCTTTACTTTGCTAGACAATCTAGCCTTTCATTTTCCAACCAAACTGGAGAGAGCACCGCTGGAGATCACCAAGACTGTGGAGTCTCCCCAATGCTACTAATCGGAGAGCCGCCACCGTGGGGTCCTCCTTGCCCTGAACCTTCGTCGCCATCGACTAGCAGGATCAATGCTGTGTTGCGCTACAGGGAAAAGAAGAAAACAAGGAAGTAAGTTCTTGTTTTTACTAATCGTTTAAACTCACCTGTCAGTAGCATCTCAAGTTCCGTTCAGTTGCATCACTACATCACATTGAAACCGAGAATGGCGTCGTTCTGACTAGAAGTGTCTTCGGTTGCTTAGAACGAACTTGAAAATGTATCGTGGAATGTTGAATAATGTTGCCACATATCATCTAAAAGTTTAAGCTGATATACATGATACACTTTTATACAATTTATTAATTTTCAACAAACTCCCTTACATACGGACTTCAAATATACAACATGGATTCTAGCAATGTAGTTGGACTCTCACGTCGATCTACTAACTGAGCTGTCCCGGCTATTCCCAATGTAGTATCCTCATTTTATTAGAGAACTCGGGTGGCCTGATTCTTTTTCCCGGGCCAGGCATGTGGAAATTCTGTTGGTAATTCATGGCGGCGAGACTTGAAGCTAGGACTATGCCTGTTCTGATACCATGTTAAATTGTGATCATCTCATTTAAAAGTTTAAACTGCTGGATTGGGTACAATTTTTTTTACTTCGTTGTATCTAAAGTATGGAGATTACGCAATCTTTGGATTGATTATGTTGCACCACTCGTTCTCTTAGCTTAGGCATAATTTGACCTTCTTCTAAGCCAAAAAACTTTGTGCATACTTTTGTTCAGCGTTTTGAGATATCTTGATTATTTAGCTTACTTACACCATGGTACTAGAACTTTCCTTCGGTTTGGTTTCAGTACCTTCTTTAACGGTCTTTTTATAATGTGATAGATTTGACAAGCGAGTGAGATATGTTTCCCGCAAGGCAAGAGCTGATGTCAGAAGGCGTGTGAAGGGACGGTTTGTCAAGGCTGGTGATGCTTATGACTACGATCCACTCCCGACCAGAAGCTATTGATTGTAAACTTTCTTATCATACATGTAAGGAAACAAATTATCCTTATTAAATTGAGACTAAACATTTGAGGTTTCTTCCAAATAGATGAAAGAAATGCCATATTTGTTTTTGCAAATGATAATTAGTATGATTGTGTCTCAGAGGATTGCTATTGTTTCTGAGCAAGGAAGCTCAAGCTCGAAAGTAGATACCTTCGCTTCACCAAACAACTAGGAAAAATTACGAACATGCCTCCTTTTGCCATTTCTTGAGCAGACGACCAGCCTTCTTTCCAGAGGGCGATCAAGATTCACCTTTCTCGACTCAAATTATGAATGCATAGAGTACGCGGGACTTTCTCTACCTTGCTTCTGTTCTTGCAACTCTAACTTGGTGACATCACACATTTAAAGTGCTCGCAAATTTAGCTGTACATTCGTGTCCGATCAGGATTTGTATTGCTTGGCTATTATGTTAACTTTTCATGTATATTCTAGTCGGTGTGTAGAAATTAAGGGCTATAAAGTTCGACGAAAGCTTGTTTTTGTAAACTAGTTCATTTTTGCCTGATAAAATGTGGAGATGGAGTATGGTTTGAGAGGATCAACAATGATACTGCAATAATCCTCTCATATTTTACATGTTATGTATTTTTGGTAGTTACATGAGTCGATGCAATATGTATTATCATCTTAATTATTGTCTCTTGAAATCCAGTACTATATACTGTCATATACTTTCAGTTAAAGGTGGCTGATATTGTTTTCATGGATTACAAGATCCTGATTATTTGCTGTAGTTATATTTGGAGCCTTAGAACAACGGTAAAGTTTTCTCTGTGTGACTTATAGGTCACGGGTTCGAGCTGTGAGAGAAACCACTAATGCTTGCATTAGGGTAGACTGTCTATATCTCCCCGGACCCTGCGTGAATGCGGGATGTTTTGTACGTCAGACTGTCTTGTATATATATGGAAAGGTGCTGATATTGTCTCTTGAAATCCAGTACTGTACAGTTAGAAGAGAGGTTATATGATAATTTAGTCAAAACAATCTTTATGATTAATGCTGTTAAATGTATTTCTTAATTAAACATATATAAGAACTTAAACGACACTTAGGAGCCGATTTTTGCTGGTCACAACGGGTTGAGTCAATAATTTGACCCGCTCAAAAGTTACTTGGGCTAAGATGAATTGGGTCAAGATGGGCTAAAATTTGGTCGTCGACACTTATTTTAGACATGAGGGAATACCTCTATGGCAATAGAAATATAGTCGTTCTGTAGGAGTAAACTGACATCTAGTGTTTATACCAAACCAATAATAACATGACATGTGTCTTTTACATACTCTTTTATCATCTAACTATGGTTAATCGATGTACATTCCATCTCATTTACTATCTTGACCATGGTAAAGTATATTAGTTTGGTGTAAATACTAGCTGTGTATAAGTTGTGACAAGTTGATATAAACACCGAGTGTTCATCTAACTATGGTTAATCAATGTACATTCCATCTCATTTACTACTTAACCATGGTAAAGTATATTAGTTTGGTATAAATGCCAGGTGTGCATGCGTTGTTACAAGTTGATATAAATATCGAGCGTAGATAAGTTGTTGCGGTGTGATCTATATATATTTAATGATTCACTTTGAATGTATTCTAATTCAACATTCTAATCTCTAATCTGCTGACCAGTGATGCACTGTTATCCCAAGAGAATAAGCTGTCACATAATCTAAACTCATATTTCAATCATATTATATATTTATTATTTTGTGCTATATATACTCCTATATATAACCTTTTTCCAATACACAAACATCATTTTTATAATTTTCTTTACTAAGAAAACTATGGCAGAACATAAATATATTAGCCTTAGTGACCTTTTGAAAAGCCAACCAATTCATATACCAAAGTTCAAAAATTCAGAATATTTCACAGGATGTAATTCATCAAAATCTTCTCCAGAGCAACCAAAAACTGAAGAATCATATGGTAATTTCTGGATTTTCTCAAAAGTAGTTGAAGTTTCAATGAAGTTGGTTTTATATATAAAGCAATGCTTTGTAAATTGATTGAAGTTGGGTTTTTTCTTTCTCTTCATGTTATGTAGTCTGGCTACCTAAATAGTTCTAAAATTTGTAAAAGAAAATATTTGGATTTATTGAGATGAGATTTGTTATTTTTTTAAGCGATTTAATTGCATAAATATTTTTGTTAATAATGTGGCCCAAGCTCTTACAACATGTTTGGATTGTTGTTATCTGTTGTATCATATATCGTATTCTTATTTTAACTACAATATTTGTTTTGATTGTTACCTTAATTTTACTGTATTATATCGTTAAGTCCGTCGTTACACAACGATGAAAAATGTGACTTTATGGAACGACCGATTTGGTGTGGACTCAGAGGCGGAGCCAGGATCTGAAACTTGGGTTCGGTGTTACAATCCTTTTAAGTTACTGGGTATTAAATTATATATTTATACATATTCAATGGGTTTTTTAAGAAAAAATACAAAGTATGAAAAAAAGTTACTCCCTCCGTCTCATATTATTTGTCGTGGTTACTAAAAATAGTTGTCTCAAATTGTTTGTCACTCTAGAAATTCAAGACAAAATTGATTATCTTTTTCCTTTTTTACCCTTAGTAATAATTATCCTAAAGACTACAAACACCTCAATTATGAATAACTTTGTTCAAATACGAATGAAGAAAGATTAAATATTAAGACATGAATAAGGGTAACGTAATCAAAATCTCATCCTAATTAATTTTTCTTAAAAGGCGTGTACAAAAGAATCATGACAGATAATATGAGAGAGAGAGTACTGGGTTCGGCCGAACCTGCATACGACACTGTAGCTCCTCCCTGGGTGTGGTCGTGTCGTTACTCTATTTTTTCTCTCTCATCTTGCCCTTCCTTATTATTAAATAATCCTATTTTATTCTTTACCCTATCTTTTTATATAATAATTCTACCTCGTACCTTATATTTTTCTTTATGATATTGCAAATTTATTCTTTATATTATTGATGCATGACATTATGAAACGGCGGCAAATAATACAATTTTTTCCAACATTGTATATATCAAAACGATAGAGTACAATGCAATACAATACTATACTATATGATACAGCATAAAACGAGACATAACAACCATCCAAACATGCTGGTAAAGATCTAGATTGAAAATCTAGTATGGCAGAGGAATAAATGTAAGGCTTTACTACAACAAGGGATATGGATTCTTGTTCCTAAATCAAATCTCAAAATTTAATTGGTTGTAAGTTGAATTTTCGGGTAAGGAAAAAAATTGGATGGCACTTTGATCAAATATAAGGCGCGATAAGTTGCGAGTCCATTACTTAAATGGTCACTCAACTATACCAAATTATCTCTTAAAGTCACTTTTCTTTCGTTTGTAACAACAAAGTCACTGAACTATGCTTATTGCACTCAGAAGGTCACTCAACTAAATTTTTGAAATTTTGGATTGCCAAATACATATTTTACCCTCTAAATTATAAATATTCATCTCCAAAGTGTTCTTCCATTTACAGTATTTTTCTCCTATTATGTGCAACTGTACTACAATTTCCTTAACTCTATCTCACAGCTTCCTCTAATTTTTTGTTGATATTGTCTAGTATTTCTTTGCATCCATATATGGTATATAACACACATTGGGCTCCTACTTTTCACCTTATGAGTAATTCAAGTTGTTTCTTCATCCCACTGTCTAATCTGTCTACTAAAAGTAAACCTAGCCAGTTTAGTAATTTCCCCCGAACAAATGTGGAGTAGGGATGAACACAGGCGGAGCCAGGATTTGAACGTTATGAGATTATAATCCTTTTAAGTTATTGGGTTCTAAATATGAAACTTTCAGAAATGGCTATTTTTTTTAGGCTAATTGCTGGGCGTAGCTACAATTTAGCTAATTACATTCCGTAGCTACTAATTACTTGTCATGTGATATATGTCGTTGTATTCAATTCAAATGTATACACTGTATTCAATTCGAATGTATTCGCTCTTATATATTTTACATTGTATTCAATTTCATTAATTTGAATTTAGTTGTATTCAAATAACAAAAAATTTAAAAAAATAGGGTGTATACCGCTCTATTTAATTCGGCTGTACACACTGTATTGAATCGGCTACAATCGTTCTTAACTAATTTATATTGTATTCAATTTCACTGTATTTAATTCAACAGTGTTCAAACAACAAAAAATCACAAAAATAATGATATTCGGTTGTATTCAATTCACCGTATTCATTCGTATCTGCTTTTATGCTGTATTTAATTCGACTGTATTCAAACCACAAAAATTCAAAAAATACAGGGATCTGCCACGAAAAATAACCTTCGGAATACATAAATACAAGTGAAAATACAAAAAAAAAATTGTATTTGCATTAAAAAATACATAATTAGAGTGTATTTATATAAAATACACGGTATTTGTATCATTATATGTGACTTGATAGCAAAGAAGAGAAGAAAATTCGCCGGAGATGGCGTCTTCCGGCCAAGCAAATCGCCACCCTCCGTCGTCTCCACACATCACCACCCTCCGCCTGCAAATCACAACCGTCAAACCTTACACATCACTACCCACTACCAGATCTGAAATCACGAAGTCGCCACCCACCATCTGGATCTGAATCTAACGTCGCCGGATCTGGATCTGACGCCGAATCTAGATCTAACGCCGAATCTAGATCTAACGCCGGATTTGGATGGCGGCCTTGCCGAAGGCGAAGAGAGAGGGAAAAAGGAGAGAGAGTTGAGGGAGAAGAGAGATGGTCGAGAGCAAAGATAAAAGAAAGACAAAAGATCAGTTGTATATACTTGTACTTTGCTATAAAATATAAAAACTGGCTATAAATAATAAAATAATATTTTTAAAGTATTTTGGTTTAAAATAAATAGGGTGTATTTACCTATAGCATGTAAATTTTCCAATCCTGGATGCATAAGCTTTGGGGAAAATGACATTGCATAGGCGCTCTCAAAATAATATATATATATATATATATATATATATATATAT